TTTATCAATCCAGCTATTGTGAGTGCTATCAAATCCCAGCCATTTCACTAGAACTCGATCTCCCTTCTTCCTCACTGTCCTCTCTATAAGGTAGACGTCAGGATGCTTGACCTTCTGCAGCTCTTCTGTATAGACCCTTTATTGGCTGACTTTGAGCATCAGACAGTAAGTATGTAACAGGATCAGTCCTCTTAATACTGGATACGGTGAAAATTTCATTAGACCAGTTAGGGGTGTAACCCTTAACGAACACCTCTCTGTATTTGCTTATTCTCACCCGGTCACCTACTTTGAACTTTGACAGACGTGGATAATTATAAAACGAACTCTGAAGTATCTTTTCATTGCTTTTGTTCACGGACGCTGGCTTCATTCCAATGCTTGGTGTTGTTATATTTTTTCACAATTTTATTTAACACATCGTACCAGCGAAAGGTTAAAGCTGAATTATTTATACATTATGGATTTTAGTGTCCGATTAACACGTTCCACAATCGAACTTTTCTTGCTACTATACGAGGAGTAATGATTAATATTAAATTTCCGAATTAATGCTTGAAAGTGTTTATTATAAAATTCCTTGCCCAAATAAGTCTATAAATTACGAGGTATTCGACTATCAGTACTGAGAATCTTTTTCATAGCACTAGCGACTTCTTCGCCGGATTTTGTTTTAAGTGGAGCAGTCCACACGTACTTTGAGAAGGCATCTATTACAACCAGTATATAACGATAATTTTTATTGAATTTGGCATATGATATCATCTCCACGAGATCGGCTTGAAAGAGATCATCTAGCCCGTGAATTACTACCTTTCGCCTATTAAAATTAACTCTTGCAGGCTTATGTAATTCGTTAACAATATCCCTCTTTACAGCTGACATGTTTACTAAACGGCTACCCCACACACACTAATCAATAATTAATCACGTGGTGCAATTAATTTGGCTTCCAGAAGCTCCTCGATGATGCTGTTCATTTCATTTATCTGATTGGAATTTCCCGCTTCTTGGGAGGCCATTAAAAGTCTATGTCGATCCACCAGTTCGTTGGGATCGTTCCAGTATACGTAGTCGATAGTTTGTTCGCGTGCGTGGTACAGATAACATGGCACTTTTCAATTCTTTGATCAACAAGTTACCTTTCGAAGCGCATATTCCCGGATATTGTTTCTGTAGCCCCGGCACCAAGTTGGCCAAAAGACTTGCTCGCGGTGACCAAGGCATAAACGGCCTTGATAACGCATGCAAGAACCACGATATCGAGTACTCTAAAGTGTCCGACGTGGCGAGCAGAAACGTAGCAGACAGAAAATTAGCCCATCAAGCTCTGAAGAGGGTGTTCGCGAAAGATTCCTCACTGGCTGAGAAGGCAGCCGCTGCAGGAGTAGCCGGAGCCATGGCTGCTAAAGTTAAATTGGGCTGGGGGATCGCGAAGCCCAAGAGGAAGAAACCTGCGAAAAAAATCTGGCGAGGCTCTAACATTCCGCAAAGTTTCCGATAAAATTGGCAAAGCTGTACGTCGGGCTAGCACCGTTGAGGATGCCGTGAAGAAGGCTGTTCGAGTAACCGAACGCATGAAGAAGGCCTCCACCGGAGGCATATCACATCCAAAGGCCCGCGTAATTCCAATTCCAAAGACCGGCGGTCTCCTGCCTGTGATTCCCATATTCGCTGCGCTTAGCGCTCTCGATGCTCTGTCTGGTGGAGCTGCGGACATCGCCAAGGCTGTAAACGATGCTCGGAATGCAGCCACCCAACTTAAGGAATCTCAAAGTCACAACGAAAAAATGGAGGCAATAGCTCTCGGCAAAGGTTTCTACCTACGCCCCTATCTACAAGGACTTGGACTGTATATGAATAAGACGAAGAAGAAGTGTTGTAACAAGACCAAGAAAGCCGGCAAATGACTAGATAAACTACCGATCGCGCCTTCACCGATCAAGATTTACTTAAATACGCAAAATTGATAGCGGTGCAGGTACTCATTGGACGGCATATTGCAAGAGAGGACCTGAAGCCGTATATTTCGATAGTTTCGGTAATTTGAGACCGCCTGTGGAATTATTAAAATATCTAAAGTCATGTCGCGTCAAATATAATCATAAACAATACCAGACGTATGATACGGTGAATTGTGGACATCTGTGTCTGAAATTCCTATATAATGAGTCACGCTGATAAAGTCACGGTCAGTCGGCGTGAGTCATCCAAGCAGAACAGTGCACGTGTGTGTTGATATGTCATATACGCTTACATTATCGAGTGATTCATCGATTCTGAGTTCACAGTTTTACCCGCCTATTGAGCTCGAGGACGATGCTGAATATGTAATCGGGCTTACGGACTTTCTAGCCTACCACTCCATACCGAATGTTGATTCTACGAATAATCGTTTCTATTACGGTGATGCTGATAAAGTTATAAAAATACCGGAGGGATCCTACGAGATAGAAGATATAAATACGTACATAAATAATAATTTAGCCGAGTTCACTACTACCGATACTAATCTCCCCGATAATTTAGTGTTTGTTTCCATAAAATCCAATAAAAATACGTTAAAGTGTGAAATTAAAGCAAACACGCCAATTAATTTCAACAAACCCTACAGTATAGGTAGATTATTGGGATATAAAAACCGTAAATTAAAGGCGAACAAGTTTCACGAATCCAATAATCCTATTAAAATTCAAAAAGTCAACGCCATTTGTGTGTTTGTGTGGAGTGCAATCTCGTTTCGAACAGTTTCATTAACGGTCAACCGGGTCACATCTTACACGAATTTTTCCCGAGAATCGGTCCTGGCTATAAAATAATAGATTCTCCTGCCTACGTAATCTACCTGCCGGTCAACAAGCATCGCATCGAGGGTGTAACCGTTAAAATAGTGGATCAAGACGGGGATTTGATCAATTTCCGTGGAGAAGTCATCACGATAAGACTGCACCTAAAGAGGAATGGGGCTTAGAATCCGGAGTGGCTTTGGGCTCGCTGTCACCGGTCACAGCCGAAAACCTTTAAAAGCCTCACCTGGAGCGAAATCAATTAGTCTACCTGTGACGTTTAAAGGGTTCACATCGCAAAACAAGAAGATTTTGTACTCCCTGGGCTACAAAATGCTACTGCCACGTCACAATGAATTCTAATATTCTAAATGTGTTGGAGAAGCCGCTCTTCGATAATGCCATAGTCAATTTCGAGAAGCGTCCCCTTTCAGCGACGAACTTGAACAACAACGATGAAATCCGCATCCCGATTCAGCAGCAGGATACGTATACGGCTCCATATTATAGTCCTCTGTATATCAGAGGTAGACTGTGCAAAGCTGATGGCACGGTTTCGGCGACTGCAAAGTTCGACAGGATGGGCATTTTGCTGCTGTTCGACGAAATCCGATACGAATTGATTGGTATACCTGTGAATAGATCGTGAAACCCCTGCCTCACGACCTTCATGAAGAACTACGCGTCAATCAGTCAAAATGAAAACATCAAGTTGGATAATGCCGGCTGGATTGTTGGCGACCATTTCACCGATGCCGAGGGCAATTTCGACGTATGCATCCCTCTGAGGATATGCATCGGATTTGGGGAAGATTTCCAGAAAATTATCGTCAATTTGAGACAGGAGCTGGTACTTATCCGCGGCTCCACTGATACGAACGCCATCGTGGGCGTTGCTGGCGACGATGAGGGTCTCCATGTACAACTACAGAGAGTTTCGTGGAAGGTGCCACATGTATCGGTGGCTGATGCGGTACGTTTGAAATTGTTGAAATATATCAACAGAAACGTAGAATTGGCTGTACCTTTCCGTAGCTTGGAACTGCACGAGTACCCCTTGCTTACCGAGACCCGGACACATACTAGGAGCATAAAAACCCCTTCACACCTGGAGAAGCCTCGATTCATAATTTTCGGCTTCCAAGTGGCCCGTAAGAATAAGATTGACAAGGCCATGAACCAGTTTGATCATTGCAATTTGACCAATTTCAAGGTTTTTTCTAAATTCCGATTCGTACCCGTACGATAACTTGAATGTGGATTTTTCAAAGAATTGTTATGCCATCCTATATGACATGTATGCTCAATTCCAACATTCATACTATCAGAAGGATAACGAGCCTTTTCTAACTACATATACGTACAAGCATATGGCTCCTCTGGTAGTCGTCGATTGTTCCTGTCAGAATGAAGTTCTAAAATCGGGAACTGTAGACATTAGACTGGAATTCGGTACTAATGACAATATCCCGAAGGAGACCGCAGCCTATTGTCTTATAATTCACGATAGGATCGTGTACTATAACCCTCTGACAAGCATAGTTCGCACTTATTAGTAGCAGCATCAGCAGCTATGTACATAATCGACTTGCAGGGATTTCAATACAAAAAAGAATTGGCTTTCAGGTGCAAGGAAATTTCCATTTTTAACGTTAACGACAGATCCTGTGTGAATAGAATAGTCAGGCCCAAAATTCCCTATAAACATCTCAGGGAGAGTGAGAGTGAGAGAGGCTATTAGAAGCCCACGGATGCCTAGAGACCACCACCACAGCGGGGCAAAAATAATATATTTCATATATTTAATTATTATTATTATTATATTATATTATTATTTTTTATCAAAATAAATGTTTTGGTTGAATATTTTTCTCTTTTTATTTTTTCCTTGTCACACATACACATATTTAAAGAATATTAATGTTTCTTTTTTATTGAATATTTTTTCTCTTTTTTATTTTTTCCTTGTTACACTCATATTTAAAGAATATTAATGTTTTTTATTGAATATTTTTCTCTTTTTATTTTTTCCTTGTCACACTCATATTTAAACAATATTATTTTTTTTTATTATTACTTAAAATTAAAGTGAAATAAAACACAAATATAAAAATATATAAATTTATTAATTAAATAATAATTTTTTTTTTCCTTAATATATAATATATTTACATAAAACAATATCTATATACAATACAAAAAAAAAAAAAATATTTACAAATAATATTTATTTAACATATATAATGTCTGAGAATAATCTCCAACTAATTTTGATGGCCATTTGCTGCTGTCTGGGCCAGATGACCATCCAACACCTTGACCATTGGTACCCTTGGAGACGTTCTCCTGGAGCCATACCATCAGCTGCCTATGTGTTTCATTAGTTTTTACATTTAATTTAAAAATTAAATTATTTTCTTTAATTACCCGGTGTAAAGTTTCCAAAAAATTATATTGAGTAAAGTAGGCGGCCTCACAAACGGCCTTATCTATTGACCAATCGATTTCTTTGTAATTTAGAAAAATATTTTTTGCCGAGAAACATTGACTATGTCGATCAACCAATGACGGATCACCGTTGACCAATAATTTTTCCAAATAATACCGATTAAATGAATTTAATATTGGATAATGACTCTTTATAATTTGACGTAAAATATCGAGGCTAATATGAGACATATATTCCTTTTGGAAAATATTTTGCAGTTGTTCGATAAATATATCGTATTGAAGTTTTTTGGCAAAGATTTTTTTCATCAACCCGATGTTACATTTATCACGCAAAGCTAGCCAATATATTACACGGTCGGGAATCACGATTTTTTCCAGAATTTTGTCAATTAATTGAAAATTATCATCAAAAATGGCTTTTTGAAGGAAATCTTCGTAAGTCTTTTGTGAAATTTTAACAAGTTCGTATTGCAATTGAATGTCTAAGTCGGCCATCGCGAACAACGGTAGAAAGACGAATGATGTCAACGTTTACTATATCGCGCTATTTATTTCGACTTAGAACTCCATGGGAGTGGTCGAACAAGTCGCTGCTTGTTGGAAATTATATCCCCACGGGATCGTGTCTGTGGTGACGTAATTTATTATGCGCTTGTCATCGTACGGACTGAGAGCCAATTTATTTTGTTTAATTGTATATAAATCGTGATGTTTGGAACGTATAAGTCTCTGCTCTTTAACCAGTGTGTTTTGATTAAATAGGCAATTCGTGAAATCTTCGAAAGTAATGTGTTTTACGGCTGATCGAGTAAGTCCTTTGATACGCATATTTGAGGGTTTTCCCTCGACTTTATACGAGTACATTTTAGCTCTGAGCCCGGCATATTCGGTAACTATTCTCCCGCAGCTTTCGTCTTTCATAAGTCCTAGTACTTTTTTATTGACTCGAGGCATACCGTACGCATTATCTTCGGAGTAGTCTGATGTATCAAATAGCTGGATGTCTCTCTTCATGCTCTTGTAAATGTCAATGTCCGTGAATTCGTAGATTAAACTGTCAGTGTCCGTGTACGATAATTTAGCCTGATTGCCAAAATTTTGTTTAATATAATCGTAATGGAAATCGTAAAGTATAATTTTGGAAAGGTCTAGAATACTAAATCCAACATAAATCGGCTTGTTGAACTTAATTTTGAGTCTGTTCATCTCTACTATAACCATGTCTTCATCGAAAATTGTTAAACTGTGAAAATTTGGTTTCGCGATCAAATTTTTTGCCCCATATTGACCCTCCCATTGTGTGACCAGTTTAACGTCTTTATGCTTTCGCACATTTTCCATTGTTTTACCAAAAACAGAATTATTCATTAACTTATAGAAATTTTAATTTATGTATTTTTGTAACCAAGCCGATTGGTTGAATTTAAGAATTTTGTGTACTTTAGTAATTTTTAATCCCCGCTAAATACACCGTTTCAATTGTCTGTAATGGATAACATAACCGGTTTTCGAAAAAAGAGTTGTCAATAATTTTGATTGTTTGCCTCCTGGGGGAACCATTTGTTCCGGACACAGGGGTAAGACTTTGTGGAGTTCATGAAGTTCGGGCGGGTACTCAATGTCCACTTCTAAAATATAACCGATTTCAGCATCATCTGCTAAATCGGTTATATTCAAGTTGTAGAATTGATCGACGGGTACCCACTCGAATCCTCCGGTTTGAAGGGAAAGAGACATTGCCGCGCCATATAAGTTATTTACATCATAGTACATGATGTACTTATTATGTACTGTTTAGTAATTTTGAGCATGGAATCAAAGGCCAGGCCGGGGGAGGTATAATAATGTAAAGGCTCAAGACCGTAAGTTTTTAGACAATTTTCACGGAAATTTTCGAAAATATCAGCCAAAAGTAGAACATCAGTTTTCAAGTACAAGTCCGAATATTCCCCCAAATTTTGAATGTTAAATGTATTCCAGACATTTGTAGCGTGCTCGTACTCGCTGTCTGAAATAGCTTCATCAGTCAGTTTACTATAAAAATCGTCTTTAGTCGGTAATGTTACGTCATTTAATTTTACCCACGAATTTAGGTAATCGTAAGGAAAAACACCTTTCCTGGTCAAAAGACGGAAAGTCTCCTCCGAATCACAATGAAATTTAGTGATTCTTTTTTGGCTGTCATCGAGGTATGAGGCCAATTTTTCGATTTTGTCAGCCATAAACCGGAAAGAATCTATAAATCTCAATTTAATTCTGATATTCTTTACATCTTTTGTGAAGGAAATATGTTTTCCCTTATTTATTGGTGAAGTGAAATGTTGCCCTCAAATGACGTAGCCAAGTGACGTATGATTAAGTGACTGTCGTAAGAAGACAAGCAATGAAAAACGACCGGTATAACGTGACTGTCCGTATAATTTAAGTTACAAGAATTATGACAAGGCCCCCGGTAAACCGAATTTAGATGTGAATGGTCCATAATTTTGATATCGAAACTGGTAAACGGTTTTTCACAAATGTGACAAAATTTCGCGTTGTCATGTTCGAATTTTTGCACTGCAGTCAAAGGCTCCATGGGCTTCGGGTGAGATAGGATGTTATTCACCTCGTCGACAATATGTTCAAGTTCCCGGACGAACCACTCCTGGCAATCACTACCCCGATACAATTTAAAATGCGATAGACTATTATCATATGAACATTTAAGATAATAGGCGACACTAAACGCGGTATGTTTTTATACATTTTGAGTATTTAAATTTAGATCATTGTTCTCGTCATACGGTTCCAAAATGCATTCAAAATCGGCATAAACGGCGAACGGTACCCTCTCTTTAAAACGATAATTTTTAAACTGTAAAAATTTTTCTTGCCCACCTGGTAGCTCTACTTTGCAAGTATTTGTTCTATAATTGCAATATATTAAGTGATCATCTAAAAGACGCTGCTCGGAGAAGTGATTAAGACAACGATTGCAGATGTATTTTTTAGTCTTATGTTTCGACAATTGTTTGAATAATAAGCGCGACATGTTTTTTATCCACGCAAAGTGATAAACAGGTGTTTCATCACAATCGTTATCTTGAACCGAATATGCCGGGACCATTAGTAAATTTATAACTCGTTTGCTATCGCTTTTACTCAAGCATACCGGCAGGACTTTCTTCTTATCAATGCCGTACACATTAATTGCCAAGTTATTTAGACGCTCTAATTTTGGAATTTGTTTTAAAATTATAGGAAATTCTGTCATCAAATTTTAATACATCACGAAAATAGGGATATAATGAAATTCTAGCTGTATGTGCTTTAGCTGGATGTAGAGCAGAGACTATGCTCTATAAAACACAATATTCATCATTATTCTTTACGTTAACTACACACGTTTTATTTTTAATAAACTCTACCGAACCTCCGGACAATTTATTTTTAATTTTTAGTTGTTTTAGCTGTTCATGATAATATTTCAGCACCGCCAAATTGTTTTCCAAACGGAATATATTCTCGTTCTTATCAATCTTGTGAATTTTAATTTTGATTGCATCGTTTATTACACCGATATTTTATTTATAATTTTGATGTGTCTGTTGATCTTGTCATCGGTCTTCAACAGAGTCAACGATTTTTTGGTCAGTTTAATAATTTTACAGCTGACATCACGCACGGTCTCGGCAACTGACTTTTTGTATTTCAATAAAAAAAAGTTTAACACGACTTTGAAAAGCAAACAAAACAATCACGTGCACTCGAACAAATTTCGAAAGCAAATGAGACCTTTTCACGAGTCCGCAGGCTTTTATAGTCGAAGCGTTCGGCTATTTCCAGTTATAACCGGTTATATCCAGCTTTGCATCAAAAGCCTCTGAAACGCGGGGCGGTTAAAGCCATTGCACAACATTATGAAATATTATGAAATATTTCATCACCCGCTTATCTACAAGTTCCCACACTAGGACCACAGCTACAGGGTGATGGTGTGATGACGTCATCATTGTTTCCAACGTGAGTCATGCCAACCTTTACAATAAAAAATAGCTGCTATTATTTTTTCAAATAATTCAAATGTGAAATCCATTTAAAACATACGGACGGTGGACACCCTGTATATGCATACTCTAATAATAGCATAAACTAACCTTACCCAACTCATATTTATACGTAAATATTCGATTGTCGGCGTAATATTATTTTATGCGATAATAAGGATATGATTAAATTTTGTTGACTTTATAGTCACGTTCTCATATGAAGCCGGAGAAATATGTTTGTTTACATTAAAAAATAAAACTTATACATTCAAAATAGTATCAAAGCAAACGCTAAAACCGAACAACTCATGTGTTGATTCGACACGGGATTTATTTTTTAAATAATATTTTTGTCATGAGTACTTTTAGTCGATTTTTATCTGAAGCCTCCGCTTTGTTTATATTAACATCTTATCTGGTATTAGTCATACACAACTGCGGCCATATTCCAGGAAAGTTACATCATCATGTTGTTATCTTAAACACACGCGTGAGCGCTCGTTTCTTATATTTTCTACCTTATAACAAAAAAATTGGTACCAAGAGGCCGTCGCCTCTGCCGCCGCCGCCCCCCGCAGCCCGCTGCCGGCTTCCAGCATTGCAGGCTGACTCTGGCCGCCGGCTCCCCCCTCTGACGCAGGCATCCCACTGACATTTCTTCAGCGTGACCTTGGAGCTGCTGCTGGAGACCCGGTGCCAGCTACGGATGGCGGCAGCCCGGTGGTGACCTTGAAGTGGCTTGGTAGCCCATTTGCTATACTACTCGTAATGAATGAACGAAATGAATGCGCTGTGCGCTGCTTTATGCTTTGACAGACCGAAACATAAGATCGTTCAAAATCGACACAAATAGTTCGCGCGAACTACTTTGTTTTAGAATAGGGAACTAGTTCTTTTAGTTCACTATGAAGAATCGTTCGTTTTAACTCGTTGGTTCGCGAACTACCCATTCGCAATACGCGTGGAGAGCCACGTGGCCTTAGCGATAGTGTGTACCTGTTATCTGTGGTGTCTACAACAGTTTTTTAGTAGTTAGTGTCAAAAATGGTTTGCGTGTATAGCAACTCGGAGTTGATGGATATCGTTTTAATTTATGGGGAAGCAAGACAACATTTGTATTATGGTGAAACATTTGTGTTAAGGTGAAGCAAGACATCATTTGTGTTAGTTCGTAAAAAGTGAGTAAGACGGACCCAAATGTGTTCACACGTTAGTGGATAAAATTTTGAAGAATTGTTGTTGTAACATTGGGTATGTCAAATGATTTTATTTAAAACACAAATTAATTTTATTAATTAATAAAGGCAAAAGCATTTGAATTTGCCGATATGAAATAGGTGCTATAAATTATATTTATTTCTTTCCTTGCGAAAGTTTTTGTCCGTTTTTATCACACCGCCATGCCGGTCGTATTGTGTGAGGTCAGGTTTTACAGTGGACCAGTTTCCAGTGTCGTGCAGAAGTGTATTTTTAAATAATTTTCGAACTGCCGTTTTTAATTTTTTCTTTACAAAATTGTATTTGTAAGAGTCCCCTGTACATCCAGAATTTTTTTTAGATAACTTCTGAATCACCCTGTAGGTTTTATTTAACGAATATGATGGTACAGTGGGTACATACAAGGTTTATACTAAAAATCTTAACATACGTACAGTGGCAGTTGGTTAACCGTCAATGTCAACTAATAATATATAGCAATAAAACAAAATACGAGAATAATAAATAGTACTCTCTCTACACACTCCCCCCTCTGTACTACGCATACGGTCCTCCGGCAGAGTACAGGACACAGTGGAAGTCTGCTAGGTTTTCTTCGTTCGTCCCCTCTTCTGTTTGGGCACCAAAGGCGTTGGTAAGATTTTGGAGGGTTGACCATCTTCTGGTTCTCGAAACTCGGTCAAATCCGAGACATGATATCGTCCAACTATTTCTGTAGGAGCTGATATCGAGCTTAGTTCATAAGTTGTGGGGGTTACCAATTTGGTAATCAGGTACGGCCCATCTCGTTTAGGAGCTAACTTCGACGAGATTCCCTTTTGGGCATTACTCAAAACATGAGTTTTTAATAGTACTTTCTGTCCTATTTTGTAATTAACAGCACGACGACGTTGGTCTGCGTATTGTTTTCTTTTATCTTGCTCTCTGATAAGAGTCTCTTTCGATTGGCGAAGGGTATTTTCTAGGTCTCGAAGGTACGGAGTAATTACTGCAACAAAATTGTCGTTGTCTAGAACTTGTCGAAAATCGTATAGAGTATCCCGAGGTGCTCGTAGCTTTCTACCAAAGGTAAGCTATGCGGGAGTATATCCTGTAGAAATACACACAGTCGAGTTAATGGCATATCTAATGCTGGCTATATGTGTATCCCAGAGGTGATGCAAATTATGCGACAGAATAGCTAGTTAAGTCTTGAGCTCTCTGTTTTTACGTTCAACGGGATTACTCTCAGGATGATAGGCAGGTATAAAGGAATTCCTTATTCCGAAACAAAATATGACTTTTTGCATTATCTCGCTTATAAATTGGACTCCATTGTCGGATATCATTTTCCGGGGAGTACCAAATCTGAGGATGATTTCGTTAATGAGAATTTTTGCACACGTCTCAGCGGATGCAATCTCCAACGGGAATAGTTCCACCCATTTCGACGCAATGTCTTCTACAATCAGTATCCAGCGATTACCTTGAGGAGTTATAGGTAATTGCCCAAATAAATCTACGGAGATAACCTCTAAACGCTGCGCTGGTGCAGGCGTTTGCAATAAGCCGGCAGGCTTCAAGTTTGTAGCTTTATAGTGCTGACACTCTAAACAATTATTAATACGATCAGTAAAAAAACGACGCATACCAACAAAGTAGTAGTTAGTAGCAATCTCCTGAATCGTTCTGTCTATTACATAATGTCCCCCCTTAGCAGAGTCATGGGCATTTCTTATATCTTCACGAAGACTTGCTGGGATTACCAGTTGTGGTTCGTCACTATTGTGTTCAGAATCCCAGTGATAAAGAATACCATTGGCCATTAAATATCCACTTTCGGTCCACCGAGACACATTTAATTGGTCTGCTCCTTCCAAGGCAACAATGATCTTGTCGAGTTTTGGATCATTCTTCTGGTTCTGCCTGATGTCACCTTTGCTAAATGATGGGAGTTCAATGGTTACATAGGAAATTCCACACGAAACTAGCCTCCTGTTCGCAAATTGGCCTTGATAAGGTATCAGCAACGACAATCCTTCCGGGTGTGTAGACTAACTTCATGTTTAGACTTTGAATTCGCATTGCCCATCTGGCTAATCTGCCTGAAGGAAATTTAATGGAGAACAACCACTGTAAGGGTTGATGATCAGTGGCAATGGTTACTTCTGCACATTCTAGGTAGATTTTTCGGTAGCACTCCAAACCACTGCTAATGCCTCGCGATCTAGGCAGCTATAGTTGCGCTCTGCTGGACTCGGGAGACGGTTGTGTAGCATGGGTGTGTAGCAATCGAAGTCTGGTCTGTGGTATGAATGTGATGCTCAATCAATGGCGTCGGACCTCCCTTTTGCTCGAAGATATCACCATTCTCAGTTAATAATTGATCAACCGATTGACGTTGTTACTCCTTCAGATGAACACCTTCATCCGAATGTAACGTTGAAATAGTTACTTGTAATGCTTGGACACTTTAATTCCTCTGACATATTAAGAAACTGAAATCGATTTTCTGACTTATCATAGAAATACCAATGATTTTGTGGTATATCCAGTACAATTTCTGCTGCTTCGAGAAAGTCACACCCCAATAGAGTGTTATTTTCTGTCAGATGGGGTAGCACCGTCAATGTAAGTGGTACTCGTTTATCACCGATTTCGATGGTTACCTTTGTCTTCAAAATATTCACATCATGCGGTTTACCATCTGCGTAAGAAAGAGTAGCAACAGAATTTTCGAATTCATAACCTAAATTCTGTAGAATCTCATACAGCTTTGAACCAGCTATAGTAGCCTGTGGACCAGAATCTGCGTAACCTACACCATGGAATCCATCAATGGTAATAGGTAGTAATGGCATCCAACAAGTATTCCCTTGAAGCGTTATTTCATAAAAACTCAAACAATTTGTTTGCACAACAGCAGAAGACGAATGAGAGGCTTTGTTCTGGCAAGTTGGACATCTGGATTTAGTGACTCCAAGCGCTCCGCAACCATAACAAGCTAATTGAGTTTTAGTAACCAGATCAGAATTATTCTAATGGTTTCTCTTTTCTTTTTAACTTCTGACATTCATCGCGACTGTGACCGAAATTTTTACAATATACGCACTTCGGTTTCTGATTGTGTTTAGATTTCTTCACAGTATTTTTTCTTCCAGGGTTATACTTAGGTTCAATACTCGCCTCAAATATCGAAGGTTCGACGTCACGCGCACGCGTCAACAAGTCCTTGAAAGTCTTTACCTCACTCCTTAAAAGTCTTTTTCGAATTTTATGCGTAATCAGACCGAACATAATGTTAATTTGTGCCTCGGTTGGCAATTCGTATGGTAACTGGGACATCATAGCACGCACCTGACATACAAAGGTTTCCGTTGTTTCTGTTGGGTCTGGGCAAATATTTCTCTAAATATAAGAAAAGGCGGAAGCTTCCTTGAAAATGTATCACGAAATACTACTACTGAGTCATTAGTCATTCCAGGTAGTTAGTGTATTCTTGACGCCAATCCACCAAGTAACTCGCCTGACCTTCTAGCAGCATAGAAATTCCGCGTAAAGCATTGCTATAAGAAACATTACAAATATCTTTATACGTTATCACATTGTCTAAAAATGCATCAACATCTGACGCGTTAGATCCGTCAAAACGAGCTGTACATTTAGCAAAACTTCCTACATTTTGTGAAGTTGAAACAGAGGTTGGTGTTGCTGAACGAAATTGCTCCAACAAATCCGTATTAGTTTGTAGAGCTGACTCACGTACCGTTGCCATTAACAAGTTAAATTGCTCATTGGACATCGTTATTCCACTTAAAGCAGTCGTAGCTCAGACTTTTCGCTTGTTTCTGTTTGTTTAGAACGCAGCATATTGTAGGTACTGAAGTTATAGAATTCTGCAACTATCGGAATTATTTTACAATCTTGCAACACTGTAACTAACTGTTCTCAGTAATGTTTTTCACAAATAAAGTCGACCGGAAAATTAATCACTGAAATTGTCCACAGGAAAGTTCGTTCAAGCGAAACTGGACCTTACGTATCCAGTACTTAGTGACTGATCGTTAACAGATGCAACAAGATGTGCTTACTTTTGCACGGAGGCCATAAATACCTTTACACCTTAATTGCAGAGCCTACGATGCAACATCACAAAAGATATTAGCCTTCTAAGGTTGGCGTTAATAAAATCTTGAACGCAATCTGACTGAAACTTAGAAGTACTTAACTTGAATTACAAGAACGTCGCACCAAAACAATACTTAATTCAGACCCCACATTGGGCGCCAGTGTAAACCAATATAGGTTTTATTTAACGAATATGATGGTACAGTGGGTACATACAAGGTTTATACTAAAAATCTTAACATAAGTACAGTGACAGTTGGTTAGCCGTCAAAGTCAACTAATAATATATAGGAATAAAACAAAATACAAGAATAGTAAATAGTACTCTCTCTACAACTCTCATACATTTAAAGTTTCGTAATTCTTCATATTATTTAATTAAAATTTTTCAATCTACTTACACAGCTTGGTCTAAAAGATTTTAAAATTTTAATTGATATAATTTTCTAGATTTAAAAAGAAAGGAAAAAAATATCTGCATCAAAATATTATACTATTTTTTTAATTAGATAAATAAATTACAATTTTTTGATGATATACGCGACAAAAAATGTCTATATAATGCTTATTTAAACAAATTATATGTATAAAAGTATTTTTTCCTTAATGTAATGTAGACTTTTTAATAGAATTTAATTATCGTAAATGATAATGAATCTGAAGAAGGTTCAGAACACAAGAGTGACTCAGGAGGTGGTAACATGACAGGAGAATTTGATATATTTGCCACAGATGATGATGGTCCAGATGAAAACCTTATTCCTAGGAACCCTCCTTATTTCAGCCCTGGAAGAAATATCAGAGACCCTCCTAATGTTAACCCTATCAATCAACTATAATAACAACGACACCAATGACGTTTCATTTAAAACTGAAATTAAATTGACAACTTGTTACGACGATATATAGGGTGTCCCTGAAAAGGATGGAAGACGCTTGACCACAGGTTCCTTGGATGAAAATAAGACTATTTAGCCTAACTTACCTATATACAAAAGTGCGCGCCTATTGAGATATAGCCTTCTAAATATAGAATACATACCTAACCTAGTTTTTTCAAATTTGAAAACTATTTTTCTTAGAAACTTCAAATTTGATACACTTATTTTTTTATGTAAGGGCAAGGTAAATATAGAATTTGGTGAGAATACATATACAGGATGTTCTCTTTCTAATGCCTGTGCGCCACTGGCTATCCCGTAACTTTTTTGTGTTTGCGCCAATGACGACAGAATTTATATTTTTAAAAATAAGCTGTAATTTAGAATATTTGTTTGCTCTTACAAAAGTTTGATATCGTTTATGGATTTCGAGTAAAATTGGCATTTTTTATACATAACTACGAGTATAAGCAAAAATTCCTATTTGTGAAAAATAATTTATAACTGCAGCCTCAAAACAGGGAATAATAATGAAAAACGTCACATTTAAAAAAATAACTACACATTTTTAGTATTAGTATTATCAATCAATAAAATAAAAATCAACACTAATATTTTAAATAAATACTAAATAGTATCAACTAATAATGTAAGAAAGTCAACATTAACATTTTAAATAAACCTAAATTGATATTTGTAATCACATTAAAATAATATTACAGTAAATGCTCAAAGTTACTTCCTTTTTCTTAAACGCAAGCATTAGTTCTTCGAAAATGAAAATGAATTTTATCAAATAATTGTACATTACCTCTCATAACACTAATGTCATGTTGTATTCTTTCCCATTATTCGTTTTCTGTATTTACTGAAAACTTATAAACTTTGGTCCGCAACGGTCCCCAAAGGAAATAATTACGTGGGTTTAGGTCCGGGGATCGAGGTGGCCATTTTAAAGGGGCATTATTTCCTATACTTATCCACCTGTTAGTATAGTAACCTGTAATAACTGGTCTTTTAATACCCTATTAACGGAACTTTTTGAACGCCAACCTCTGTCGCTAAGCGCCTTTTATTTACTTGAGGAATTTCTTCGACCCTTTCCAAAATTTGTTCCTCCAGCTGAATAGTTCCGGCCGTACATTATCCACGATTTAATGTTACAGTTAAAAGTTGTGATTTGGAATTCGTCCGCTGACGCGGAGTTTGGCATTTCTCTCGGGCCTTCGGCCCTCAGGCCGCGCTGCGCGCGGCCCGAGCACCACTCCGCGGTGCTTTCCTCGCTGGTTAGTAAATATAACATTTTTTAAAATACCTGTACTTTGATCTTTAAACACCCTGTATATAAAAGTATGATGAGAATGTTTTTCAAAAAAGAGTAGGTCCCACTCGAGAAAAGAATAACAAAAGTTTCTTCCAAACTTCCAAAAAAGGCATCTGGTTAGTAAATATAAAATTTTTCATCCAAAGTCTACGTAGGTAAGGCAGAAATGGTAAAAAAATAAATTAAGACATCTGCTTGATAAATATACAAATTTTCATTAAAAGACTGTAGTAAATAAAGTCAAAGCTAAAAGTGAAAAGAAACAAAACTGCCCTTAATTATATAGAACATCTAGTATATGGATTTTTAAATAGCGACTTTTCTTCAAAAGATTTAAAGAAAAAATTTAAAAATGAATAAGGAAAAATCCAGTCCACCTGTGTAAGTTTTACGAAACATCCTGTACATAAATTGTAAAAAACACCTGGTTGGTAGGGTATAAGATTTTTCATAAAAATATTGCAGACTTCAGTACAAACTGTAGAAATGGAAAAAATATACCTAAGGAAAGTTTCGTTCTGTTGGTAATTGGATCAGTTTTGTGGAACATCCAGTATAAAGATTCAAAAAGACATCCGGTTAATAAATATATAATTTTTCATTAAAAGATTTTAGTAAGGAAAAACAAAGTTAAAAGTGAAAAGGGGAAAAATTGCCCGTTTCAGATGTGGATCAATTTTTTGGACCACCCAGTACGTATATGGATTTTCTAAAAAGCGGCTAGTCAGTAA